GCTGTTTTCATCAGCCCTTCTCTTGGCAGAAAACAAGGCATTGTCCAGGCTGCAGGCTCATCTGAGATTTAGCATCTCCTAAGATCATCTGGGTCGCTGGCAGATTTCAATTTCTTGTGGTTGGGAGGCCCAGCTTTCCCTTGCTGGCTGTCAGCTGGGGTGGAGGTGAGGTACTTTAGTTTCTAGAAACTGCAGAGTTCTGGTCATGTAGGCTCTTCATTACATGGCAGTTGATTTCTTCAGCACCAGTATCTGATCTCTAGACCCTCTTTAAGACGTTCACCCAATTAGGCTGGGCCCACTGAGGACAATCCTCTGATGAACTCTGAATACAGACCTTGGTTACATCTGCAGGATCTTCCATCTTCCCTACATAATGCACCTCAATCACAGGAGTGCTGTCTTATCATAGTCACAGGTGAGCACATTCAAGGGGAGGGGATTATATAACACAGGCACACTAGGCCTGGGAACCCTAAGAATTACCTTATGGTTCTGCCCACCACACTGCTGCACCCCTGCAACCACCTGACACTTAGTATTTCATACATATTTATGAATTAATAATGGATGAAAGTCAACGGAGAGATGAGGAATCAGTGAGAAATGAAGACTATCCATGTTCCAATGTAGGTGTAGTATCTTACCCTGAATGGAGAATGATCCTGTGGTTGGATCATCCACTTAATTCACTGTCCTTACTGATGGGTGGTGAGTGTTGTGCAGCGTGCAGGGGCACCCAGCAGCATTTGTGGCATGACAGTTCCGAAGTTTCTGCAGTAGATCTTGACTCAATGTTCTGCTGAGCAGCCTCATGCAGATGAAAGTGCTGCCAGATGGCAGGGGCACGGAAGCCCGGCTTATCGTCCACAAGTCGTGGATATTGGAGTTTCGAACTCGGCCTTCTGCCATCTGTTGTTGAACACTTAATGTTCTACTGCTTCCCCAAAACCAGAAAAGAAGAGGAAGGTATTTGGATTTCCAGGAGAAATGATACAAAATTAGGCACAGAAAGATATCCTGATGATTCCTAAGATGCTGTGTGTGGAACAACTCTCTGAAGGACATGCCAGTAGTCCTTTTATTTGAGATGGGAGAAGCAGAAAGGACAAGGTAGACCCAGGATAGAATATGATCTTGTTCTGGCTGCATAACAGAATACCACAGAAGGCCTGGCTTCAACAGAAGACACTAATTTCTCACAGTTCTGGAGTCTAGAAGCCCACGACCAAAGTGGCAGCACATGGTGTTTGTGGTGAGGGCTCTGCCCTGTGTGTGGACAGCCCCTTCTCGCTGTGTCACATGCCTGACCATGGTGGCTGCTTCGAGGCAGCTGCTCTCTTCCTCTTGTTGTAGGAAACCAAGAAGAGTAGATCAGGCCTCCACTTAATGACAAGGATCTCATTGAGCTCTGCTTATCCTTAGAGATCTGAACTCAAGGTAAGTCACACAAGGGCTAGGGCTTCAACATAGGAATTTTGAGGGGGCACAATTGAGTCCATAACAGAGAGCCTGGGAAGTTATGGAAAATGATGGGCTCTCGAAAGGAGCCAGGTAAGCGGACTGAGATTCCAGGCTTTGGAGCTGGGACACACCTTCGAGTTGTCACTCTACCTCTTGCTGGCATCAGGGACAAATCCACTTCTTATGGGGCCTGAAACTTAGGCAATTTTAGCAACTCTCTTTAAGACAGAGACTACAAAATTAGGTAGAGAGTCTTGGAAGGGAACCTATGCAAATAAGGGGCTCTGAAGCTCCAACTTTATTAATTCACAGTAAATTCACCCCTTCTTGCCATTCTGCCAGTGAGAATGTAAGTTTCTGACCCTCAGTTTTTTCAACTGTAAAGCAGATAATAATTATCTTATTTTAAATTATAGGAGTGTTGGGATGATTAAATTAGGTTTCAACTAACACACTCTCCTCATTGGCTGTTACTGTTGCTATCTGTATTATGATTGTCACCTCACCTTCTGTTATCATTATTCAGCCTCTTCACTTTACAGATGAAGAAACGTGGAGGAAACCATTGTGTGCCTGGCGATCCCTCCATGATCAGTGAGTGGGTGGTGGGGGGAGTTCAGCCTCCTGACCCAGTTCTGCTCTTCCCAAGCCTAGTGATTAAATTCCACATGGCCATTTGAGGGGGGAAGCTCAGCTCCATCTTCATTTGGGATAAAATGATGACTTACAGGCAGGGAAGCTTCCATGGACTCCCCTTTGGGAGTGACTTCCAAGTTCCCAGACTCGCAGATTCTGTTAGGGACATCAGATTTTCCTGGGAAAGGTCTGCAGAGCCAGTCCCAGGGGCCTGTGCCTGTCCCTCGGACATGCTGTGGATGACAGGGGCTGGCTCTTCTCCATTCCTCCTGTACTCTCCCTCTCATCTGACTCTGGAAGAACATGGCTCAGAGCTGCTCTTAACACTTCTATAGCACAGATAATGTTGCTGCCCAGGTACCTGAACTTTTGTTTGTTTGTTTGCTTTTCCAGTGACTCTCCACATTTATTCTGGCTTACTCACTGGGGTTCAGAAGTTTAAGTAGGATTAGTACTGAACCCAAGATTGCCAGTCCTTAAAATGAACACAGTATGAAAGCTAAATTTTTCACTCAGGGCTCTAAACTTTTGGCCTCTGAGTCTGCATAGAAAAAACAAACCTCTCATACACAGTTTCCTCATTTCTCTTCTTTACAAATGTGGTACAATTATAGATTTTTTTTTTAGTGACACAGTCAAAACAAACCATGTAGCAATCTAGTAGAAACTTCACACTTCACATGTGTAAAACCCAAATGAGCACTGATTTTCCCAGAGTTGCTATTGGCTACAGCAAGCATAGCTAAGTTATTTAACCTATTGTTTTTACTGACGTTCAAATAACAACATGAGGTTTTGGAGTTTTCCAGAGGAATAATGTCACTTATCTTCAGGGTGGATGTGAACATCTTGTGGTTATCATTATTATCATCATCATCATCATCATCATCAATATTAATATATCTCTGTCAGAAATCATGCTGCTAATAGTGTAGGGTTAGACAAACAATGCTGATTTTTTGCTTTAGAGTCTTCATGCAGATAAATCTGGTTTATCCATCTACCAGGTCTGCTGTTTGCTAGACACAGACACGTAACAAAACAGAACATTTTGGAGTTGTAGCCAGCCAAGCACACCTACCGAAGGGGACTTGTTTCTTCTGTTTCCATCCTTGAAGGCAAGTAATGGAGAGGTTGGTGGGCTGTTCCTCTGAGCTCTGCTCCTTCCCTCCACCCTAATGTGAGCCACCACACTTATCCCTCCATTTCAGTCCCATAGCCCTGATCACACTGGGTCCCCAGCATTCGAGCTTCCCAGCCTCTGTTGGAGAAATCTGCTTTTGCACCGGGGCTCCACTCAACAGTCCTACTGTTTGCTTTAACACCTCGTAATAGCCTGAATTAAAAGGTAGTAAGGTGTTAAATATCCAGTCGACACAAAGAAGAAACCTACTGATGATGGGGACAAGGAGTCTTTTCCTTGGGATCATTTTGGATGATATGAAAAGCCACCAACAATGTTTTCTTAGGGATAAAAAGCATCAACACATTTCTTTAGATTTACATGAATCCAAATATTATTTTCTTCTGAGGCTCCTCATGTGCTACCCATCACCACATTATTCTGTGGGCTGTTATTTGCCAGCATGGAGTTGTTGACTCCTGGTGTTTATAAGCAGAATAGTGGGCCCAGGAATAATAGCTTCTTGGACGTGAACTTGGAGCAGTGACCACGTCATTTGCAGACCATATGTGTGCCAGGTACTGTTGCACTTGGGATGGGTGACACAGTCAATGAGACACACCAGGCACAACACCCAAATCTCTGCCCTCAGGGTACAAATTTTCTATTTAGCATATATACAGAAAAATACAGGAGAATTTCTACACTTGCTTGTACCCAACAGATATTCCCATATTTTGCCTTTGGGATGTAGCAGTTGGTGTTGTACAGGAAGTAGACTACCTCTTGACAAAATGAGGTTTTGTCACAGGCTGGCTTTTCAAGTGAGAGGAGATCTGGCTCCCTTCTCTTGCGATTTGCATGGGAGACCCTGTCTCTGACGCTGCAGAGCGCCTCCACACCTTTGATGTAGAGCAGGCCTGTACCTCCGGGGGAGAAACACTACCATCCCAACTCAGCTTTGCAGAAGCAATGTGGAGCCAGTGTTACCAGAATTACCATGCAGGGTTTTCATATATTTTTCTTTTGACAACCCAGGGTTCAAAAACAACTGGAAAAAAAAAATCCCCCAAAAGCAAACCAACAAAAAGACTGCATAGTCACATTTCTACAAGTAGTGAGTAGTAGGTCATTATTTTCAATAGTAAGAATAAGCAGTTTAGGAGTAGGCTTTAGGCCAGGTATGGAGAATTGATTGTCATTGCATATGGAAAATAAATAATTATGCTTGGATTTAAAAAAGACTTATGACACATATGCACGCACACGGACACATGCACACAAGTACCCATGCCCTACATGTGCATGCCTTTGTGAGCCACAGAATGGGGAAATGTAAATTATTCCCAGTTCAGTACCTGTAATCTCTCAAATGCTTCATAAATGCACAAGATGCTGCCTGGGTTGGATGTTTAACTCTCTGAATTAGCTGAAATGGTTGTAAAATCACACGGAGCCAGACAGTTTACAATCAACTGCAAATCAAGGAGGCTCCTCTATGCTGTTTGTTCCAGCAGGCATGGGGAATGCACTGAGCTTGCTAAATGTGCATCTGATACCCCCTTAGCAGCTCTGCTTGTGATTACAACCTCCTACCGCCCCAATACTCATCTTTCTTCCCCCTAGGGGAGCTAGGTGAAACTCTGGGTGCCCAGAGCATTTAGGAAGTGGTTTGTGGTGCCTGAGAATGGTTGATTGGGCGCACCTGGCCTGTACTCCTAGTTAGCTCCTACACACACCCAGTCCTGACCTCAGAACTGATTTCTGTCAGCTCTAATGTGCCTGAAAAATCTCTTTCATGGCAGTTTCCTCTCCTAACACTTCCCTGGGGAATTTCCCCTCAGGGTGTGAGGCAACATTAGATTGTGACTATGATAAGATGTTCCCTTGGAGGAGTCTTGTATGAAAAACAGCCTTCGCATCTGTTGTTTTCCTTATTTAGGGTCTATTTCACGCTGAATGATCCTGGAACACACCCCAGGCCTCTGTCTGGACTCCTCTGCAGCCTGTACTTCCTCTTCAGCACTGCAGCTCCTGAAACACTTGGTGACATATGGTAGCCTATCTGTGAAGTGTGCTCAGTGCACTCCATTTGCTTTCTCACTCTGCAGGCTGGTGCATCGTGTTGGGCTTCGTATTTCTTAAAGGGAGACTGATAAACTGATAGTTGGCCACCTGAAATCTTTTTTTTGGAACAAGGTAAGAAGAAAAATAATTACATTCATATTTGCATAATTAGTATGTGGGCAAAAGGGGGTTACACAAACGGTGAAGGGTTAGCAAGATGCTGTAAGAAGCTGTTTAAAGGAGCCAGAGATGTTCAGCCCAGTAAGATCAATTTTATTGTTATTATTTTTGGAGGAGGGTGGTAGACATGATTCAAATGTTTAAGAGGCTGTCAGGGAAAAACTACAAGTTATTTTCTTCTTTTCCTACGTAGTTCTAGTCAGCAGAAGTAGACTCAGTGTGTGGGATTCAGAGGTACACAGATCTCTATTCTATATAAGGAAGAGCACTTTGCTTGTTAGAACTCTGTAGTCATGAGATCTGTGATCTATGTATGCAAGCAAAAACTGTGAGATCTGCCTGAGAGAGAGTTCTCGCACTGAGTGTAGTGGAGCCAGACCTGGAAAGATTCCTTCCCCTAAGTTTTGTTCCCTTTTCTCTCCTCCTCTTCTCCTTTGCTGAGGATCCATCCTAGGACCCCTGCATGCTAGGCAAGCACTTGACTGCTGAGCTACACCCCCAGCCCCTATACTTTCCTGAATTTGAAGTTTCTTGTTCAATTTTCATTTGACAGAGGATTGATGGGAGGATTAGAAACATGCTCTCTCTCTCTCTCTCTCTCTCTCTCTCCTTCCCAGAGGAAAAATATAGTTGATCAAATTAAACTTATTCTGTGACCTGAAGGAAGTTGATTTTATATCTACTTTTAAAAAATTTATTTTCTCTTTTGGGGTATGTAATTGCGTATGAAGGAGAGCTTTGCATCAGCATTTTCTCTGACAACAGCAGCTCATTTTCCTAAGGGGCATCACACCTCTCCTACCACATGTCACTTGGTCTTTCCCTCCATTGAGAACCCTCATCTCTCCCAGGACAAGTGGTGAGGACTACCTGAAACCTAGTTAATCCTACTCTTCCCTGGAAATTGAATGTTGAGTGCTGTGACACAGAGACAGAGAAATGTTGGAGCTGATGGTTTCCTATAGCTCTGTGAGGGGAATGCCCTTTAGTTCATGTTCCCTAGACTCATACGCAGATGGCAAATCGATCTCACAAGTTGTGCATGTTTGTTATGTGGCCATATTGTTTGATCCTAAGATGAGGAGTTTGTATCAAGATTTGGAATGTGTGACCTTGTATGTTTTCACTGAGAAGGGAGATGATATGTATGCAGTATATACAATCCAGCAACTTTTGGGGAGAGATTCCCATGGGCTCATTTAACTAGGGGCCATAGGGTTTGGGAACTCCTGCTTCCTGAAGTGTTAGAAAGTTAAGGTCAAAGGCTGGATGCATTTCAAGTTGTGAGACAATGCCATGTGATTTCAAAGCTGGTGTTTGTGCATGCCTGCATATGTGCATGTACAGAACTGGGGGTCGGGGGGAAGCAGCCTCTAAAACTGCTTTCCAAAATGCCAAAACACTGAGCCGCAGGTTTGTCAAGAAAGATCTGTGTATTTGGATGAAACCTGCCTCTTTGGTAAACACGCAGTGGCCTGTCCCCTCTTGCCCCGCTTTTGAACTTTTGTTCACATTAGCAGTTTCCCTCACCTTGGCTGTTGAACTTCCCTTTGTGGTGAAATTCACAAGTGTTGAGAACTGGCAAGAAAATGATGGAAAGCAAGGGTGTGTTGGACTAGATTGCATTTTTCCTGAACACTGAAATATCAGGATGTATGGAACATGAGTCATCACTTTCTGTTGGAAACTTCTGTGACCTTTACAGAGGAGGCCAAATTCCTCCCAAGCTGTGCTTTTTCACACCCCAGTACAGGACAGTGAAAGGGCAAATCCAAGGGAGGCAGAAGCATATTCCTCTTTTTTTCTTGCAATCTGTTACCCATTTATTGTTCTCCTGACACACTTGGCTTCACATGATCGTACTAATGGTGCACATGAAGGTTGAGTGTGGCAGAGACTCACCTGAGCTGCCTCCTGTGAGTGTGCAAACCCAGAGCCCCTCTAGAATGGGGACAGAAGAGAGGGGCACATTGTTTTGCTGAGGACTTAGAGGCAAATAATGTTATTGTCAGGCAAGCACCTGAGGGAGGAAGGCCACATTCAAAATAGTGACAGACAAGCTAATATTGCATGGTTTCTCTTATATGAAAATCCTGAGGTATAAATGAAGTACAAAATAAAAGATAGATAATAGGAAATAGGGAGATCTTTTGCAAAAGGGAATGGGACCAAGATATGGGGGTGGGGAGAAAGAGGATGAAAAAAAGCATTGAGATGTGTTATGTACTTGTACCGACCCCCAAGAGGCATGCGATCACTCTATACTGCAATGTATAATGAAAATAAAAATGGCAAAAAAAGAAACGACCACTAAAATCACACATGGCGGGGGAAATAACTTATAATATATAGGTAAAAAGGTAAGAAAGACTGCCATATCCTCAAAATGCAAAAACAAACCAAAACCAACATAGTAGTTCTGTTTGGCAGACTGGAACCTGACACATCGGCCAGAACAGAAGGCATGAAAGTGCTGTGACAGTGATCCAGCCGGGCCATTCTGTCCAGAGCCACGCAGCCCTGCAGCTGTTAGCCTGGAGGACTTCATGGCCTCAGCCCGTGTTGTCGATGGAGAAGAACTGGAACCATTGAAGAGTCTTCATGTTGCACACACTGTCTCCTTCACCATCCATGAATGTGGGGACGCATGGATCCCACATCCATGAATTGGGAATGTGGGGTAAGGGAGCAGGCTGGGAACATTCACTGGAATCAACAACTTCGAATTGAAATTCTTTGCCCTTGAGAACTTTGGCCAAGGAAGATCCTGGTTGTATGCCCTCTCCTACCCTTTATAGTCTATGGAAATCCTTCATCTTTTTAAAATCGTTTGGAATGAAAAAAATTTACACAGTGAATTTTTCTTATCTAGAACTTATACCTTAAGGGCCCTGACCACTTGTTACTTTAATGAATTTTAATACTAATCTTTCTAAAATGAATTGCACACTTCTTTGCTTTCCGAAAAGATCAAGTGAAGATAGTATACATTTTTCATTTTCCTATTTACTGTCAGGTGCTCTGTTGTCACTTTCCATGGCTGCCTCTAACCGACTTTGTCCCCGTATCTAATTTGCTGCTTCTGAATGGCAGTGAGCAAAAACTCAACATGCTGAGCTTAAAAATATATTTATACAGGTGATGTATGTTTTTGAAGAGGGGAGGAGAAACTCTCTCAAGTCAAGTGCATGAGCTGTGCCTGGGGACACATATTTCTGCTTTATGGAGACCTTTAAAAATACTCTCCCCAAACTTTTCTTGTTCATCTTTGATTCTCAGTGGTGTCCTAGACATTTGAAGTTAGCAGATAAATAACCCTCAGATAAGTAAAGAGTTGTGGACTGACTGTTCTTCAAAGGTTAGAAAACAGATCAAATATATCCATTTCCCAATTGGGAGTGGGGGTCAGCTGCAGAGCAGCCAGCAAAGACACTTAATTCAAGCTTAATCGCTTCTCCCATGCTGACTGGATGTGAATGCGGGGTCTTTCACAGTGACGATGGCTGTGGCAACAGAAGGAGGAGCACAGAAGGCTCCTGGAGGTGCTGTGCACTGGAAACAGGTTGGATGTGTGCTATTTGGGTGTAGCAGACAACACGGGGAGAAGTCTTCTGCAGAAGGAGGTGAGTGACTGAGGGGTAACGCGCTGGGTTTGAATGGAACTATCCGTCAAACCGTGAGGCCTATTCTTTGGAGCTATATTTGCCAAGAACTCAAGTGTCCTGTAAAACTTGGAGCATCTTGGAAGTGGGAGGAAGTGCACCCCAACCCTGACACTTTTATTTTAGAAAAAGAAACCTAAGCTCAGAACAAGCTTCTGTGTTCTTAGATGAGCCAGCATAAGCATCTGTACTCTGACTCCAACGCCAATATTTCTTCCTACTTCAGAATGCTTTCAAACGTAAGATGTCATGAATGCAAGCAAAGGCTTTCTGTGGGTAGTAAGCTTACTGCTAGTTTTGGGATGAAAAGACCTGATGCCTTGGGTGGTTTTCTATATTCAAACAAAAGATGCAACAGATCATCTGCAGATGACCAATTGGTATAATGGCCAAATGATTTAGAGAAGTTGTTTTCATCTTTTTTATCTATCAGTAGATGGCAGGAGATACCATCAAATCAAGTCATGAAAAGGGGCTCAAATGATGGAATTCAGTCATTGTTCCTTGTATTCCCTAGAAAGCTTGCTATCTAGGGTAGTCAGGGTACTATGTTGACACCTAGGGAGAGACTGTTTTTGAATATAGATTTGGGTTCACTTATTTGCTTCCCCATTAATCTGGTGAGATTACAGCTGGTTTAAAACAATAACCAAATGTTGGAACTAAATTTACACTCTTTAAAGAAGACACCTGGAGAAATGATTCATCACTCATGTTGCTAAGATTAATTGGGCATTATAATTGTGTTAAGTGGATTCACACACCATGTAGGAATCCAGGAGTTTCCTATTTGCTTTCTTTTCTTTTCTTTTTTCTTTCCCTTTAGGCAGAGAAGAGAAAACAGAGCTAGCTAACTTTGGTGTGAGATGGGGCAATCCAGTATCATAAACAGCTTTATCTAAGATTAATGCAGATAAAGCACTACAATTAAAATAATACTCAGTAAACGCAAGGATATTTTCAAATGCCTGAATCGACTCTGGTCTTATGAGCTGATATTTCCCTACCCACAGAAAGGTCATTTTCATCAAGATTAAATTTGATTTTACTTAGATTTTTTTGGAGTAAAGGGTACTTAGATGCACTATCCTCAGGTTTTCCTAATTTGGAGATTATAGAAAGGTGAAGCCCTTGTGGAATTTTCAAGAATTGAAGTTTTCAAGTCTTCAAGTGTGTTGTTCCCTTCTTATGCACTTGTCATCACTTAACACCTTATGCCTGTGATGCAAAGGATTTGAATCAACTACTTTAAAAAAATCTCTTTCATCGTTTGACCCCTGCTTTTTGGATAATTTATGAGAAAAACATTTAATCGATGTATTGATTTTTTTCTCTTTTAAACAACAGCTTAGCCGGAAACCATGCATAGTTTGGGAAGGCTAACTGCAGGGGCATGGACATGGGTGTCACACCCAACCACAGCCTTGGTTTGTGCCACCTCCAATCACAAGGGCACCAAGGGCCTGCTGGGTCCCCAGGTGGGAATGAGTGCCACAGAAAGCCCCAAATCCTTGAAACAGAAAGAGAACTGAATTTGCTTGCAAGCAGACTCTACTTACTTTTCCTTGTAAATTTCTCCACTGGGGAAAAGATTTTACTCAAAAGCACATTATTTTCTCCTTTGCAAAACATCCAAGTGGTGGCTGCTACCAAAATATGCTACCAGAGAACATAAAAACAGTCTTCTGAGTCTGTGTTAGGCCACTTGAAAGTCTCACTTGACAACCCCTCAGTGTTACTGAGCAGCACCATGCTGTTGTACTGCGGGAGATGGCACTTCTGGGTCAAGGTATGGGGCCTCCAGGTGTGGGAAACTAGGAAGAACCAAGCAGTCCTGGCATGGACACAGGATAGCCAGTGTGCCCTCTTTCAGTGGTTTTACCATTTGTTGTATGTTGTAAATCTCCTACAACTTATTTATTTCATTGTCAGGGACATCCTTTCACAATGAAAAGTGGCAATAAGTTTCATGGTCACCCATTCATGCCCCTACTTCTTCCCAAAGACTCTACTTTCCTGTTTTGTGTGTACCATTATCAACAACATACGGTCAATTGCTAAGGATGCATGTTGATCTTGCCTATATTGTTCAGCTTTCTCATTCTGTGATCAGCTGGCTTCAAGGCAGAAACATCATGGTGGAAGGGTACAGTGGAGCAAAGATGCTTAGTTCACGGCAGCCAGGAAACAAGTGTAACAGTGCCAGAGAGGAAGGGGGCCTGGGACCATATACAGAACCCAAGTCATGCCTACATGACTGACCCAGACACACCTGGAGGTGTGCTCCACCAGTTCCCCATGTTGATCCCAAAGCCAATCAAATCAACACTTCATTCAGGCCACATCTCACTCCTTGTCAAGTTCATGCCTGAATACATCCCTTTAACCACACTTAATCTCTAAATAAAGACAACACTGTATTCATAATTTTGACTAACATAGTACAACTCTACTGCATACAACCAGAAATGCAACAATCCCTTCCTCAAAGCCTCAACAGTTTTAGCATTTCTCAATGTCAGCATTTTTCAAAAGTCCAAGTCAATGTTTCCTCTCAGACTCAAGGTAAATTCTTAGCTGTGAACTTCTGTAAAAATAAAATAACAAGTTGTTCATTCCTAAGGTATAATGGCATAGGGTCAACATTCCTATTCCAATAGGGAAGAAAGGGGCTAGAAAACAAACCAAAGCAAGACTGAAAACCAGCAGGGCAAACATTAAGTCCTATATCTTGGTACACAGCATCTGGGCACATGCTAATGAGATGTGAATTCCAGAGCTTGGATGGCCCCACCCCTATGGGCTCACTGGTTGCTCCCCACGTGTTCTTTCTCTGGGGTTGGCTCCACTCATGGTCTGCAGCTTTCCTTGGCAGATGTTCCACATTACCACTATCTCTGACTTCCTGGGATCTCCACTGCACCTTTGGTTTCATTCCTATAGCTTCATGTACTGCCCTCTGAGGGGCTTCTTGCCTGGTCTCCCAGGCCTTCCTTTGATGTCTGGGTGGAAGCCTCACTGACTCCACAACTCTTGCATTCTACATGCTAGTAAACCCAGCATCACAGGGAGGGTGTCAAGGTTGGCTGACACCTTAAGCAGGAGTCAGGGCCCATTGGACTATGGCTATGGTGACCTCTGAGTGCCTGGATAACTGAGCATAGTGAAATGAATCCTAGGGAACTAATTCCCTAGGAAGCCCTTCTTGAGTAGGGGTCCCAGGCTTCTCAAAAGGTTTGTACTTTTGCACCCATGAGTCTGTGATGCATGGGATCTCACTAAATTCTGAGGTGCCCTGCGGGCATCTTTCTTCTGGTTCCTGTACAAAGTACTTGATTTTTTTTTCCTCCCAGTACCGGGGATCCAACTCAGGATCTTGTGCTTGCCAATCTGGCACGGCACCACTGAGCTACATCCCTGGCCAACTTGATTTCTTTTTAATGGAACTAATCTCTTCAACAATCACAACTTTTTTGGCCCCAACTTTAATTAAGAATTTATTTAAAAAGTTTTCATTTTTAGAAATAAAGGTTTAAAAAACAAAAATTTCCAAAACCAGTAATTCTGTTATATCCTAATTGTTTAGAATTTTTCTATAAACTCCAAATAAGTAAATAATAAAAAAATAATTTCCAAATCTTACAGAACAAAAAGAAAACCACATTAATCATTAAATACTTTTGGATTTGCTTTACTTCTCCCAGGTTGAATTCACATATATAAAAACTGATGTCCTTTACATTCTGAATCTCAAATCTTCAACAGTCAAGTAATTATACAGTTATATGTAAAGTATGTATTTCATATTTACTTGCCATAGAAAGCAGAATGGAGAATAATACTGTGATGTTTAAGAAAATGCTGTTTCAAAAATGTTGACTAGGTTCTTCTCTCTTTTAAGGTATATATAGCTTTTTAGATGTTAAACCTTTTGAAGGTTATTTTAGAAGGGATGTGAAGTGACTAGTTTATTTCAGATTTAGTGAAGAGTAATTTGTCAGTAATCTCAAAAATCCAAGCCAGGAGAGGATCATTTTCTTTCTTTTTTCTTCATGTGCTCATTTCCTTCGTAAGGAAGGCCTGATGCAGTAAGAGGATACATTTCACAAACTTCTAACACAGGTTTGTGAATTGTCAGCTAAAGACACCACCTCTGATGTGGATGGTTTCATTCAATCTATGTTCTACCAACTTTATATCTTCTAGATCATCTTTTATAATGCTAATCAAGTGGCTAAGGCCTTCCTTTTGTTGGTTCAAATGCTGTTTGATCTCATGTAACAGATCTGCATCTATGTAATATCTTTCTTCAGATCTGACTGCTCCAAAATGGTTCTGCATCCTGATTTGGGACATCAGTTCGTTTTGGCCCCAACTTTATATGTGCTTCCTTTGGGTCAAAATTTAAGTTTTTCAAATGTTTTAATCTGGTTTTTGCCCGTACTTCTCACTTTAATTCTGCCTAAGCACACCATCAGTGGTCTGGCAGAGGAATTTTCAAGACAGCCAGCCCATTGCCCTTAATCTCAGTTTCCCACAAAAGTCTCAGGACATGGGCAAAATGCAGCCAAATTGTTTTTTGTCAGCTTAACTCACATAGCCTCTAGTCCAGCTGCCAATGTAGTCCTTGTTCCCAGCTGACCCCTCTTGAGCCTAGCTTTTACTGCCTGCATTCTTATCAGCATTTTGACCTTCTATGCTCCAATCAGAATCATCCATCCGGCTCTGCTTTCAGCATTCCAAGGCTTCTGTAGTCTGTATCTATAAACCTTTCCAAATCTCTCGCGCAAACCGACTTCCTAAACCACATATACAGGTACAGTTACAGTGGCCGCCCTACTTTTCACTAATTTTCTATATTAGTTTTTCTATTACTAAGATACAATACTTAAGAGCCTCAACTTAAAGGAGGAGAAGCTTAATGTGGCTCGTGATTTTGGGAATTCAGTCCATGGTAGGTTGGCCCTGTGTCAGAAACGTCATGTCAGAAGACTGTGGTGAAGCAAAGAGATTTAATTAATGGTGGCCAGAAAGCAGAGCAGGGGAACAGTGCCAGAGAGGAATGAGCCAGGGACCAGACATAAACCCCTAAGGCCATACCTCCATGACCAATCCAGACACATCCTGAAGTGTGTTCCACCCATCCTCCAGGCATAGCCCAAACCCAAGCAAGACGATACTCCACTCCAAGTGCTACTGTCAGGGAGTGGAACCTCTACATGTGAGAAACTGGGAAGAAGCGAACAGTTCTGCAGTGGGGCAGGAGAGAGTCAGCACACCCTTACTTCAGTAATTTTACCGTCTATTATATTGTTGTAAATCTACTATACCTTATTTATTTCACCCTTTCAAATTCTAAAGTGACAGTAATTTACATGATCTCCTATGCAGTGGTGGTATATTTTCCCCGGTTCTTTTCCAAAAGATTCCACTTTTCTGTTTTATATATACTATTGTCTACTAAGCTCAACGTATTGAAGAGTATCTTGATATTCTTCTCTATCCAACTGTGTTCACAAGAAAGAAACTTACAAGTTCTTTCACTAATAAATTATAAATGATTAATAAAGCTTAATACTATCACACCTAAATGTATAATAGAAAATGAATGTTTAGAGCCAAAGATAGTCATGTTTAATCACATAATTGTTAAGAAGAATTTGAGACTTCATCCTACTTATAAGATAACAAGAAAGCTTGTTATAGCTTCATGGTGCTTGTAGAAGATATGAGTCTCCTGGGTCAGAGACAGAGGATACTCTATTTATTCACTGCAGTTTTAGAGCCGGATATCGGTCCTAACTCTCACCAAGTGATGTGGAAAATGTGAGATGACACTTACTTTGCAGTGATTGTGCTACCAGGGGTACAGAAGGAATCCAGAATTTAGTGAATTTAAGTCTTTTATGATGGGCAGTAAATATGTCTGCTTTTCTTGGGAGGGAGACAACTATACATTCCAAGACTCTTCATTAGATAAGCATGCTAGAGAGGAATAATGGTAAGTAGAAACAGGAGAGACCTATGGAGATTTGACCCTCAATAACATCTGCAGATCAACAAGAGCCACTGGAGATGTCACGGTGAGAATTTGTTTTTGCTAAGTTTTAAGTAGTACTAGAGGCAGTCGTGTACTTTGCTTATGCAAAGTCTGAATTCAGTTTTCCAAATTTTCCCAGAGTCTTCCTACTTTACGTATATTTCTATCAATAAATATATAATTACAATTTTGTTTTTTTCCTGGGAATAAAAGTAATGCATGGTCATTATAGCAAATGTGGAGAAGTAGGAAGGAAATATAAAAATCATTCACAGTTTCATCACTCAGAGGTAAACCTTCATTAAAATGTTGGCTTTTTAAATGGTTCAGTCCATATTCTTTTTCATGTAAATTGAGATAATGTTATTTACTTATGTATTTTGATAGTTTTGCTTTTTTACATATGGAGAGAATTGTACAAGGTCATGAGTTATTGCATAAAATTATGATTTTAAAATAATTGCATAATATTCTTACAGTAATATGCCATTTTAAAAAACTATTCCTTCAGTGTTAGAAAATTTGCTATTAAATAGTACAATGATGAATATTCTGGTACATAAATGCTTTTCATTGCTGTTAGTTAGCTTCCTATAAGAAAAATTATGGAATTGAAGTGTCTAGTTTTATTTTAAGGTTCTATTTCCAGACTGCTTTCAAGAAAGATTATACCAATTTACATACATAGAACAATGTTGGTGATTGTTTTTCTCCTCACATATTCAATACAGTTGAATGTTTTAATTTTAAAACCTGTTAATAAGATAGCTAAAAATATGCTTTTAAATTAGCATTTTTTGATTACTAGTAAAATATAGTTGTGCCTTAATATGGGGGGGGGGCTTTGGCTCCAGAACCTCTCTGGGAACCAAAGCCTGCTGATGCTCAAGTATCTTATATCACAAGGTGTGGTATTTGCTTATAACCTATTCTCATCCTCTAGATATGTTAAATCTTCCCTAGATTACTTATACAGCCTAATACAATGAAAATACCATGTAAATACTTGTTATATTGTATGGTTTAGGGAATAATGACATGAAAAAAATAAGTCTGTACATGCTCAGTATGCCACTGTTTTAGAAAAACATTTTTAATTCAAGGTTGTTTAAATCATTTTGTTACAAAACCTTTGGATATGAAAAGCTGTTATCTTTCTCTGTTATTTAATGGATCCTTTGTATTTGTTTTTAAAATCTGCTCATGACCTTTTTCATTATCCTAATAAAGTTTTAATATTTTTCTTACTAAAGAAAAGCTTTCCAAATACCCTGTCTGTAACATTTTGTATACTAGAATTTTGTAAAGTATCTCCCTAAATGGTTTATTTTTAAGTTGTATTAATGCTGATTTTAGACACTTGGACATTAAACATTGTCTGGCCATTATGCAGATGCCTTCTTCTATTGCTTAGGAATTCTTGCCCACTTGGGGTTAAATTTACTACATTTTTCAGGTATTCAATTTATTTTAATATTCAAAGGAAATAATATATTTTCATATGTGGACCAGATATGGACATTTCCCCGTTTAAGCAGCCCGATTCCCCAGTCAGGGAGCCATTCCTTACCCAGTGTCTGGGATGTGCTCTCACTCATGTACTAATTAGGGTTTCTATGAAATGTGATGTTTGAATCAACCTCTTCATAAATTTATCACTGAATGATAGTCTCACATCCGATACAAGTTACAACTCTACTGATGCTCGTCTCTGAAGGACTGGCATAGTTATATTAGAAATATTTAATTTAATGTATTGAACAGAACAAATATGATAGCGTACCACTTTTGCGACTTCAACTTGTTCTCCAAAATTTTAACAAAAATTAGTTTCAAAAAGGTAAGAATATATTTAAGTGATAAGTTTTTGTTTTTTTTTTTACCATCCTTGCAGTTTTAAACATTTGTAATTTGTTGAAATTATGGAAAATAAAACCTTAAACTACATTCTTTTCTTGCAGTGCAATCTGCTTTAACAGTGAGTTGCTACCCATCAAGAAAAAAACTATCCCTCAGGTAATATAATTAGAAAAATGTTTTTAGATAGTAAGAGAAGTTAAGGAAGGTTTTCCTATGAAACATTTTATACTCTTGGGCAGTGGGATTGGCAGGGAGGAATAGAGAAATAGGGAAAGATCAAACTTTTTACTTTCTTCCCCCCTACCAGATCCAGATAATAAAACACAAAGCCTGTTTTGTGCAAAATCAATGGGGGTGAGTTATTCTGACAGAAATTTGCCGTCCTTCACTGATCATGTGATACTCCAGATAATAAATATTTTAAGCCAATATGTTACTGATAATTTATTAGGCAGTATGATATAATGAAAACAATACAGAAGTCTAGGGATGAAAAATTAGACTGGTGAAACGGAAGGTGCATGCAAATGTCAGGTACTTCCTCATGTTTTACTATTCTAGGGTAATGGGAAAGAACATGGTTACTAAGTGGAGCTTAGTAACATTTATTAAAATTGTCATTCTTATATTTTCTTACAAATTTTTTTTTCCAAAAGAAAAAAATTCAGAAATACTTGTTTTGAAGTGTAGGCCCAGTGTGCAGACTTTCTTTTATTTCATCTCTATCTCCCTCCAAAGCTAGACAATGAATTCATATCTCTAAGTTCATACATTGCTCATGAAGATCAATGCAGAACTCACACTCTGTGCAGAAGACAGAAATGCTAGTGTCCATGGAACCCAGTCTCAGTGATTTCTTTTAAATCCCAGTGGGTCATCCGCTGCTGAATCCAATGTTGGGTGGACATAAGTGCTTAGGAAACGCTTGAGGTGAAGACTGGAGCGGACTGCAACCTGGGGTACATCGCGGGCTTCAGGCAGATCAACAGCACCATGAGAAATAGGTGGTTCAAACTAATACATTTCCCAACTACTTCGAAGATGAGGCTTTGGTGATTTTCTCGCCATGCGGAGAATGAGTGGAGCAGTGGCAGTAGCCATGCTGTGTCCTTGGATCACGAGTCCAGTGTTAAGGAGGGAAACTGGATGTCAACACACCGGAGGAGGTAGCTGCTCTGTGTGGTCGGCAGAGAGAGGCAGAGTGGAGTCCAAGAGAGGACTGGACTCCGGAAGTCGAAGTCCCATCTTGGCCGTCACTTGTCCTCTCTCTATTTTAATTTCCTCACTTGTAAAATGGATAGCATTTCTATCATCATTAGGATTAAATGAGCTAGCCTGTGTAACGCACTCAGGTCACGGATGGGGACACCCAAAGAATGCCGCATAAATGTTTGTTAAATAAATAAAACAAGCTTTTGAGAACAATGGAAGGAAGGAAACGGAGAACCAAGCACGTGGAGTCTCTAGAGGCCTAAACACGTCTGAATGGGAAGATTCTGGGCTGGAAAAGTAGAAAAAACTAGTTCAAAGATGACTGGCAGCCATGATCAGAGTTTACACGCCCCTGCAAAGTGATATAAAGGCCGACATTATTCCACTGAAGTGACAGTTTGTGTAGAATGTGGGTGGGAAGTGTGATGTTAATAGTGGTGTGTCGATTTGATTTCAGTAAGAACCACCTAGGGATGAGCTAAGCACATTCCTGGGTGTGGGTGTGTCTGTGGATGTGGTTGTGTCTGTGGATGACTGACATGCAGGCTGCAGAGTGAGTGGGGAAGACCCACCCCAAATGTGGGTGGCACCAACTAGTAGCCTTGTAGCCTGGACAGAAAACAAAATGAAAGAAGGAAGTTGCCTGCTTTGGGAGAGCTCTAGTCTTTGCCATCGCCTTTGGACATCAGTCTCCAGTTCCTTCAGCCTTCCTTCCAGGGCAGCCTTATCCTGGGACCTTGGACCTGAGCTACATCCCTGATCCTCTTGTTCTGGGAATTCCATCTGCTTGGGTTGAGCAGCTACTGAATCTTCTGGCTCTCCAGTGCGGAGACAGAAACTGCAGATTCTTCTGCCCCTGAACCCTCAGACCACCACCCCTTACCCTGTAAACCTGGCCAGTAAATCCCTATTACTGTCTGGCTGGTGGGCTCTTCTTTCAACCCAGAAATTACAAGGTACAGAGAGACAAAAGAGGACTGAGCAAAAGTATTTATTGAAGAGTGAAAGCAGAAAGTAGCATTTATTGTAAAGCAAAAGCAAACAGCCCCCAGGTAAATGAACCTGGGAGGTGGCCCCAAAAGTGTTGCCAAAGGAACTCATTGTCTACAGGTTTTTATATGTAAAAAATGACTACATCTTAGCCAAGTTGAGATCAACCTACGGGGTTACAATCAGGAAAGTTTGACATAGAAGTGGAGTTTGGGCTAGGTAGCAGGAGTTTGGGCTAGGTAGCAGGTATACTCTTGCACACACCATTAATTATAGCTTTAAACAGAACAAAGACAATCTTTAGAGAGGTATAAATATCTCATTCCTGGGCAGGAAAACCCTGCCAATCCAACGAGGCCTTTGCTCACTGAGCCCTGGCCATGGTCTTCATCTCCACTGAAGCTTCCCAACACCCTCTTTGGCTTGGCTTTTCCCTGGCTCTTTTTGTTGGAACATTCACTTCTCCTCATGGGCCAGTGTCACTCTGAGAAGTCTTCTAATCCTTGCATGGGGCCTTGCTCCTCCCCAACATCATGTTTCGCAGAAACTGATTGCTTAGGTTAGGAAAATGACACCCAAATCTTAGAAAACGGGGCCTAAGCTCAGCCACACCAGCACGGAGGGCTTGTGGTTCTTTCTCCCTAAAACTCTTGTTAGCTCCCTGCTTCACATATATTTTCTACTGATTCTGCCCCTAGAGAATCCTAGCTAATGCCCGAAGGAAGACACCAAGCTGGGGATCAGCAAGAGGGAGCCTTCCCTTTCACCCCCTAATTGTTCATGTGTGATTAAGATGTCGCAGATTTCCTTTGAAAATAAGTTTGCGAATTACTTTTTGATGGAGTAGAAATCCAAATAAAAATTGTAGGTCCTGGGCGAAGAGATCTTCACCAGGCTGAAGAGGAGATGGATTCAGGAATGCTGGGTAACACCCAAGCTCCGGTTTCACACCGACCAGATCTGTGGTTACTACACATGTGGTGCCTTGAGACACCTGGCTCCAAAAGAGGTATAGTGGTGGTGAACCTATGGCACACTTACTACTGTGTTTTTCCTTTAGGACAAAAGATGTTAATGTACAAGCTATTTTCTTTAAATGGAAACCTCAGGTTTACTTGCAGGGTTGGCGCTCTGCCGTAAATTGGGTTGCAGTTTGGCCCTGGATCTCCAAGAGTTCGCCATCGCCGTCGAGACCAACCCACGGTCACGACAAATGTGTGGGGAACTTGGGCATGTGAGGACTCAGAAGTTACTTTAGGTAAAGATGTCTTCAAACCAGTGGGTGATGTAGGATGAGAAAGAAACAGAGAGAAGGGTGAGGGGAGAAAATGAGGATGATTTTTAATGTCAGAGTGGATCTGCCCTCTTTGGTCAATAACCAGAGATGCACAGGCTACGGCCTGTCGCCTGAAAGGAATTGCTGATGCAAATTCTGGTTTCAGTGACAACTTCCAGTAGCAGCAAAAGTAAGTTTTAAAATCAAATTTGGAAATTTCCTCAAAGCTGCCTTTTCAAAGACAAATGAGCCTCTTACAGGATGTCTAGTTAAGTAAAATAATGGATGTGAAATGCTTTGCAAAACAATAACGTCCTATATAAATGGAAGGCATTATCATGTACTGTGTTAAAAAAAACTTGCAGTAAAAAGAGATTTTTTTGTGTGGACTAAATAGTCAAATATGGACTGCATGACAGCCCTGGGAAGAGGAGTTATAATTGACAAATGACTGCGCCCAGGTCGAGTGGATGAATGTGTACGTACTGACCTGCTAGGGTACCGTTGGTGTAACGCAACAGAATTCTTTGTTTTCTTTTTTTGCCCTTTTCTTGTATGAACTATTCTTCAGAGGCTTAAAGCATACTTGTCAAATTTAATGATAAGACATGTACGATCATTTTCCTATGGCACCTTGCCCAAGGTCACAGGGTTAGGGACAGGTCTCAAGGATGGCATTCTGGCTGTGGTGTCCAAGGTGCTGAGTACCATCTTATGCGAAGTTAGCTCTGCTGTGTTCTCTTGGATAATGTGCTCAAGTTCATGTAGCTAGATGTGAGGCGATCCTGTCCTCCCTGACACTCTGGAACGAGAGCAGCTTTGTGGTTCACAGGAAGCAGTGCGCACCTATGAATCAGGTGATGGTGCCCTTTTGACCTACCTGGGAGCGTCCATGCTGAGGCATCTTCTGTGATGCCACCAATTCAATTCTAGGCCCTTAAATCCTGTCTCTGGCACTTCATGCCCGACAGCATTCCCTTCTGCATAAAATACCTCCTTATTCTCATTACATCTCCCCATAAAACTTTCATCAATTTGAAAATTGTAAAATGCATTCCTTTTTATGCAGACATTTAATTTATGTATGGTTAAATCACAATTGAGCAATATATCCTCCTGCAAACCCACATACCATCCCAACTCTGCAATTTGAAAATAAAGTGAGGAACTTAAAATTGGCATAGGTTTTTAGGAAATGGAATCTTCTCAACTACAGACTTTAGAGGATGCTTATCTGCAAAGCAAAGTATGGGACATGCTTTGGCTTGATCAGCAGATTCTTCTTAGAATAAGATTCAGGCACAGTTACCAGCTTTGCCAGTTTGACTCAGAGTTTTCTGTGGACAAAATGGTGCAATCCTTCTTTATGTGCATGGATGGAGCCAGAACTTTCAACCTCTCAGCCCCTCAACCTCTCACTTTCAGAAATGTTGAAGTTTAAAATATAAAGGTGTTGTTTTTCCTTCACACCCAAATGTCAGAGCTAGATATTCTGATTTTTCTTGATTGGCTCCAGGTGATGTTAAGTGGAACGAAGGAAATTATCAAAATCAATCTATCTTTAAAGGCTTTCTTTGAAATTACAGGATCTGAATCAAAATGTAAAATAACATTATTCTTATTCTGAGTTCCCTTCCATGATTTTCATAGCTTTCACACTACCAGAGAGCAAGTAAAATAGCATTTGTGTGTGTGTGTGTGTGTGTGTGTGTGTGCGTGCGCCCTCTAGCAAGGTGATTGTTAGAGCTTTAATATTTTCCAAAGAAATAAGTATATCTTAAGCAATCTACCTCTTGCTTGCAGGATTTCCAAGAATTTAATTACTAATCTTCTGAAGGGTTAAGAAAGATAATTTCTTCACATCAGTGGATCAGCAAAATGACTTATATATTAACAATAAAATGCTTAGCATGAATCATGATTAAAGATTGCCAGTGTTGCTGGGAACAGTATTACATGGACAGCCATAATCATAAATAGTTGAAATATTCAAATACTAGCATGTCAGAACCTTTACATACTGTACAGCCCAGGTCTTGATCAAAGTCTAAATCTGGTAGAAATGTGCATTTTCTAAAAAGTCAAACAATACAGAGTAATGATAGCTATAATGCCGAGATACTGTTTAATGTCTTCCCACAGCAAATAGGATCGGAAGACCCCAGCAGTGACTTTTACCTGGGAATTTATTAGAAATGCAGAGTCTTAAGTCACCCCAGACCTTCTGAACCACAATCTAATTTTTAACAAGATCTTCAGGTGATTCATATGTGCATTAAAGCTTGAAAAGCACCACTTTAAAGTATTTTGTGAATGGAATTATGTGAATGGAATTGCTGTTCAAAATCAATCTGTCTTCAAAGGCTTTCTTGTGAATGGAATTATTGTTTTCCAAAGACAATGTCACACCCTAAGAGTAATGGTCATCTTTATTTTGTAATGGGGCCATCAGAGCCTAGTGAGAAAAATTCTTATATTCTGTTGCTCTGGCAAGATAATGACTAATACTGAATTATTTTTTTCCTGGAGGAGCAAAAGCAGCCATAGGGGAAGGCATAGCAGATCATCATTTTCAGTAACAACAAATGCCAGCTTGACCTGCATTGTTATTTTTGACACATCACCTTGCATTTCTCGTCACATTATACTGGTGGATTCTTTCCCTTCCTTTTTTTTTTTTTTAATTATTATTTTAGGTCAGAGAAGGAAACTGACCTAGGGGCTGCTACAGGCTTTTGGAAATATGCTCTTCCTTGTCTGTGCCATTTGCTCTGAGGTGGCTGCTGCAGCAGTTCTGACCTGGGACATCCTAAGAGTTTATCAATCATGTGACTGTCAAGCTCCCCGAACCATGTAGTAAGCGCCTCTCCCAGGACATGATAACGTGTGTTAAGAGTAACATGAGGCTGGGATTGCAGGAATGGAAAAATACCAATCAGAAGATGCCCTAGCGGGTAGGAGAGAAGGTGCCAGGACCCAGCAAGGGGCCTTATCCCCAAGTCTCTGAAAGGTGGTGGCACACACAGATTGGTGGGCTGCACCCATGATGGGAGTCACTCCGTTTCTTCTTGGTGCCTGCAACCAGGGACTACAGCTCCTGCCACCTATTTCCTTAGGCATTGTCTCAGAAAGGGTTCATGCTGGCTGTGCCAGGAAACTAGACAAGATGGCGCTGTTACACACACTTCCCCACAGTTCTCATTAACCATACAATGGAGGAGGGCAATTGATTTTAGGACCGGGAACCGTTTGAAGTGTAGATTGAGAGCTGGAGTCTCAGAGCCTGTCCGCTGGACAGTGTCACTGACACTGTCAGTCAAGCCACTTCCAACACCATCGCAACCCTGTGTGGTGAGGCTGACTTTATAGCTGGGACTACTGAATAATTCCAGCTAACTTCGCTATTCATACATTTTGAATAATATGATTCTGTGTATCAAATCAACTTGCAACTATGGAAGCTAAACTTGTCAGTAAAGAGGGAAATGTTTTATCAGTTCAGACTAGGCACAAGCACCCTATGAGAGCTCTTTTCAGCTTTTCCTTCCCTTATGTCAGTCACATTTGCCACATGCCCCTCCTGCAGGCCACCATCAACTCTGTCTTCTTGTCCACCTGGATGCAGTGGCGTTTCCATCAGGTCTCTCAATTCCATCCTTAACACTTCCTGTTCCTCACCACTTCCTGTTAGTCCTGCACGTGGCAGCCATAGTCCTCATTTCCAAATGGAAGCTAAGTCAGGGCACTCTTGCTCTAAACCCTCCCATGCTTTCTCATCCTGAGGGTCTAAATGTGGCCTGCTGCTCCCACCTGCCAGGCCGGGGCTCTGGTACCCATCTCCTGCCTCTTTTGCCTCTGCTCAGCCAATATCACCTTCTTTCTCAACCATCCTAGACACATCTCACCCCAGCATCTCTGCCTGGGTGATAATTCCCTGAGATGGACGTTTAATTTACCCTTTACTTATTTTAAACGTCTGCTTAGAAGTTTTCTTATTGAAGAAACTTCCCTGAATATCTTTTATAGCCTCCACACTCCAATATTTATTATGATCATTAATTGTGATAGGTCAACAAAATCTAGCTTAGTCATTCTGTTCATTGGTGGGACAAAAAACTTAAGGGAGGCGAGGTTTATTTTGGCTCATGTTTCAGTTCACAGTCAGCTGGCTCCCAGACAGGACAGCATGGCAGAGGGGCCCGGCGGAGGAGAGCTGCTCACCTTATGGTGGCCGAGAACCCGAGAGTCCAGGGAAGATCCAGGAAGGGAGACAAACGCTTCTATGCCATACCTGCCCACATGACCCACTTCCTGTGACCAGACCCCACCTCCTAACAGCAGTCACCAATGAGCCCCCATGATCCAATCACCTTCCAAACACGTGAGGCTTTGGGGGCCACTTTAGACCTAAGCCATAACACATACAGCCGAAAACCATCTGAGACGTGATTCACTGGCCTTTTCCCTGTATCTCTCCTAGCATGCAAGTCTGTGGGAGAGTAGTTCTATTTAGTTAGTTAACTACTTACCATCTCTCCAGTGCCTTGAAAAAGTCAGAAACAGACAAAGGAAAACACTCACTTGATATTTGTGGAAAAATTGATTATCAGTGCTGGCCTCTGCTTGTTTTCTATCCCACTGGGCTCAAAGCCCTCTCCTAACTCCCTGCTTTGGGCTGGGTCTCTTCTGGTGTCCGGGGTGACCCTGTGCTTCCAGGGTCTGCAGGGTCAAGTCCTGCTCTTCTGCCAGTCTCCCATCCTCCAGGAAGCCTTCCCCTGAGCATGTCTTTTGATTTCCTCAGCCTGCCTGTGTCTCTCAGGTCTATCTTAGAGTAGACAGATCCCAGCCTCATGGACAGGGAGTGGTAAACCAGGGCCATGTCTGATTCCCTTCATCCCCTGATGCCTATGAACTATTCTTATTACTTCATATATAGATGATGCTCAGTGCATTTTTGGTCAATAAATACTGCTGATTTCTGTGACTACGGCAATTTGTTGGGATGGTAAGTGGGTAAGAAATGAAAGTACAGGGATCTTATCATCCTGCAGCTGCTATTTTACTACAAAAAGGCTCTTGATGACTTTTTTGGTTTAGAGTTTTGTGTATGATGAGGAGGGGTAGAAAACATTTTGCTTTTGAGTGTGATCATTTTGCTTTATTTTAATAGGTGCTGAAAGAGGAAACATTCATTAAAAAGACAAAATGCCCAATAATGAGAATATCCATTGTCTTGTCCAGTGCTCTCACTCTTGGTTTCAAAACTGGGGGAAAAGATTCCGATTTCAGGGAATTCTGTTAGCATCTTTCATTGCCTGAGGAAACCTTTTGTCCACCTTTCTATGACAAACTTTCTTGATCCTAGCAGGGAGAATCAAGAATGGGGAGTAACTATGTTTAGAAGGACACCTGTTTATAAACCCAATTTCTTTTAGAATGGATTTTCAACTACAAACTGTTAAGATCTGCACCGGAAGTTCACAGTCCACTCCTCAGTGGAGCCAGTGGTTTAATGGGGCAGGCTTTGCCGTGGCAACATTAGGGTTCATTAGGATTTCTCTTATCAGTGGTGTAAGCTGTGAGACTTCCAGCAAGCAGAGGGTTAGAATCTAAATGAGAAATATAGATTAGCATTTTACACAATGAAGTAACGGACTTTAGCATTACCTTTTGATGACAAAAGCAGGGACTTAAACGCATTGTAGGGTTCCTGGTTCGATCAATACCTAAACATGAGACATGGAAGACTGATTGCTTCCGAGGCAACAAACACTACCATTTTCTTAATTATCCTCAGGTTTGCCTTTCCTGCCTTCAGATTCTTTGCAAGTAAAAATGCTCTCTACATAAGACAGGGGCATCAAATCTCTCTCTCTCTCTCCCTCCCTCCCTCCCTCCCTCTTTCCCTCTCCCACTCTTTTCTCTGTCTGTCTCTCTCTCTCTCTCTTTCTCATACATAACTAGAGATTGGTCTTTTAGCTTCAATTCCCCCACTTCTTAATGGAACCTTAACAAGGTCACAGGTTTTGCAAGGTTGTGCAGGCTACCTTAGAGGCCAGAGGTTCCAGCTGTGGAGAAGAAATATCAAAGCAGCTGGAGGAGAGAAAACAAATAGTTTGAACTTTGGATCCACAGATGGTTATGCCTGCCAACTGTTATGAGCCAATGAATATCTGGCCTATCATTTGTCATATTTATTGCAGTACATAATGCTGTAATTTCTCATGGCATGGTTATTTATCTTGCTGTGTTCTCTGAACAGCTAAAATTGCAGCCATGTTGGAGCATATGTATACCTTTTGGGTTTCATCTTTAAATAGCAGCCATGCAAATTGGCAGAGGCCTCCCCTCTGAGGACAGGGATTATGAATGTTGCAAAGCCACTAGAGAGAAGATGATGGAACATTCTGACAATAATTGAAACTATGGTCCTAGTCTTGCTACTTTGTGCTCAGCCGCAGAGTAGGAAAGGTACAGGGGCTCTCCACTGAAGTTTAGACCTTTTAGTGGCACGAAAGTGTCTTCAGGAAGTGGGGACTTCCAGAGCTGGTGGTGTGTGCCATAGCTGGAAGTCTTTCCAGAGCCTGCAGAGATCCCGCCAGTTTTTCAGTGAGGGAAGGGGCTTTGGCAAGGAGAAAGTGTGTAGGTTGGAGAAAGAAGGCATGAGGTTCTTAGTTGCTGGCTCTCGATGGCAGTCATGAAACTCTGTCATATCATAAGGAGCAGCAGGAACACTGGCAGCTCCACTACCAGCAGTGATGAGTCAGTGCCTGGCAGCCCCACGATGCCTGATGACAGAAGGTGTGACTCACAGTGGGGCAGAGAATCTTCAGGGTACCAATGCTCGCCTGGCACATCTCAACATCCATGGGAATGCTGGTCCAAATGGGCTTGGGCATGGGGATTTATAGTGTGCATGGAGTCCACATGATGTGGAAATGTCGGCACCTCACATCCATACTGGATGGGCTGCATCCACTTCCAGGCTGGGAAAGCTCACGGTTGGAGGGCATTTTGTTGTTTAGGATAAAGGCACTTCTGACCACTCAGATTTGCAGAGTATACGGAAACTCCAGCTTCATTTTGGCCACGGGCACTTGTCACAGGGGCTTCAATCAGAAGTGCTAATACAATTGGTGTTTCCAGGAGTCCTGAGATACTGCTCTTCTTTGTTTTCCTGCAAAGCATACAGCCATTCAGGGTTCAGCAGAAGAGAGAAGACCCTAATGTCATTCTCATTATTATCAAGGCTAAAATCCAAAGGTTAACCATCAAGTCCTTGACCTCTGGCATAACCACCTCACTCTACAGTAAGAAGGGAGTCAGCTATGCTGTGTGTATCTTTCTCTGTCTTTCAGTTCCTAAATTCCCTTCTACCTCAGAACTGCACATGTGTAAGACCCTACCTAATAGGCCAGATAACTCAGAAGAAAGAGAAGGTTCTAAGAACATGATTGTGACAGTGTAACTCCAAATTGTTTTCTTTCCTCATGAGAAATGAAAGGGGTGGTATCTCTGGAGGGTCTAAGGCTGCATGAGTACCAACCACTTGGGTTGTCTCAAGCCTAAAAGAAAGGAACAATGAGCAGATGACCTAGCACAAGCATAAAATACACACAGGGCCTGCACAAAGAAAGTCAGAGGGTTAAGATTCAGGAAGAATGGAGACTTGTGGAAAATACCAAAGAGGACAAGAAGCTTTAAAGTTATTGTCAGTGCTGAGTGCTTGGAGTGGCCCTCTGAGGTCAATAGACAGCAGTAAAAAGCCACTATTTCCAGTTCTCTTTCACATCTGACTCCTACATTACACTGAATGGTTAAAAGAGTAGGAAGGGTAGAAGAACAATGGGTTAGAGAAATGGAAGGCAAAGGTATGGACAAAGATCATCAAAGAGCACCATTCCAATTTTCAGGTCTAGACACCCATGTCCAGTTCCTAGGGAGATGTGAATAATGATGAGTAGCCCTTGAGGAGAAAAGACAATAGGGGAAATACTAGCAGTCCCAAACTGAGTAAGCATCCCTAATTTCTAGTAGGAAGAGGACATTATTAAGCAAATAGTTTGTGTATATTTAGGAATGAATACTGCAGTCATGGGAAAAGGTTGGAGAGCTAGGGAGTCCAGCAAAGTGACAGATAAAACTGAATTTTGTTAAATATGTTAATGAGAGCAACAGTGAAGGCAATCTGCCACAATTCAATTGTTATTTTAGGCCTGGGTGATGTTTGAGAGATGAAATTTATGATTCTTCTGAAATTCCTCTAAGCCAGACTTTAGAAGCGTCTTTCTAGGGTCAACTTTCCTATCAACTCTGTCCTTCTTCCTTTTGATATCTCTCACAACCTAGCTTCAATTGGTTAACTTAGTAAAAGGGTTATTTTAATTGGGAAGAAGTTGTGAAAGGTGTCCTTAGCAGCTGTGTGTTGGGAAAACAGCTGCGAGAAGATCTGATACCCGTGCCCTTCCTGAAGACCTTGGACAGGTGAGTGGCTGTGATCCTTAGTTCTCTCATCTTGGAGATGAGACCAGCAGCCAACAGTAACCAACTACACAGCTCTCTCGAATCCAGGTTCCCTTCCCACTCTCTTGCTTTCCTTGATCTCCTGGGTTTTCCCTTAATTTTATTTTTGTCTTATGACACAGCATATTTTATCAGATTCTTAGGCATTTTATTTCTTGACTACTTTAAATAAATGGCAATCTCTCTGAAATCACTGAAATGTGACAAGAAATGAAAATACAGCAGAAATTCAATCAGAGCAAGTTAGGTCTAACTGCTGCTTAGCCTATTACAAATGATCTCAAGGTGTCCTCCTGATCACCACCTTTCCTGTCAGTTCATGTCCCATGCAGTACGATGGAAAGACAGGGACCAAAAAGAGATGCAGGTTCTAGTGGGAGCATTGCCACTAATTAGCAACGTGACTTTAGACAGATCTTTTCGCACATTGGCACTGTTTCCTCATCAGCGCACTAAATGGATTGACCTAGATTATCTCCCAGGTCCTTCCCAGCTCCAGAATTTTCAAAAGCTCATGATTTCAAGCCAAAAACTGTGTTATGGAATGAGGTGATAGCATGGGCAAGTACAAGTTGATTAGAGAAATGGGATAGGATTTATTTTTTTAAGCTGACTTTCACAATAATGAATCACAGAGTAAAGACACAGAAAGAGAGATACATTTATCGTAAGTGTTCAAGGAAGCCCAGCACATTTTAAACAACGGTTGAAAATAACCTTTCATTCTTTTCCCTTCTCTTTTTCCTAATGGATGGCATAAAGTGGATGCAGAGGCTGAACAGTGGCTTCATTCCATTTTAAGTCACCTGTCATGTTGTGTAGCGCTGCTTCCTCTGGTAGCTGACATGGAAGGATGTGGCACGGTGCAGAGTGAAGAGTTAGGATGTGACGTGGCATGCTGGAAACAATACTTGCCTTTGCAGAGCAGTTATCACTTCAAGGCTGGTATTTAGAACCATCCTTAGATAATTCAATATCTCTGTGTCTCTGGTAGAGAGGATGTCAACCTGAGTTAATTTTTTTTTGCTTATCAGATATGATAGGACAAGATGACATTAAAATGCTTGAAAGAAACCATCCAGAATGCATACTTAAAAAAATAAGCACATCTGTACAGTGCTTATGCATTGCTTGGACTGATTTCCTGAAGCCACAGAAATCAAAGAACAAATGGTAATTGTCATAGACAGTTGTACAGGATAAACTCAGATAGCTCCTATTGTTGTCCTTTGTGTATCACAGCCTTCCATGATGTCAAACTCTTCCAGTTTTGATTGAAATCGAATCCTATGAAGAAAAACATGCTTTAAAGCGACTGGGCTTACTCATGTGTTTGTAAGGCTTCCTAATCTGTGGGTACCATGGAGTCACCTGCCCCACATGTTACAGACACCTATTCCCCAAAGCGGTATTTCCAGGGACTCCCAGTGTACCTGTGAGATGTACAGTCACTGCTTCGAGCTCTTCTCTTCTCCAGGCAAGGTGCTGGCTCTTGATATGCACATGGGGGATGTGGCAAAGTGAGGGGTAGGGACTTTTTCTACTTTGTGTTGCAATTTTTAGGGTGAATAAATATGGTACTCTAGGGCCCTACCCATAACGAGTTTATGAAATAGGTCATTGAAAGCCTTCTCCTTACCTGGACTCCTCCCTTTTCTGAGTAGCAGACAGGCATACACAGGGAGGAACTGTGACAAGATGAGTGCTAACCTGAGTCCTCTTTCAGCAGCTTTGAGTCATGACTCTCCCTGGAAGGTTCTTCATCCCATAAAGCAAATAACCTTCCTACCAGTTTGCCTGAGATGTTGTCGGAAATATCATGACAACATGGGTTCATGCTGAGATCACTGATATTGTTCCTACAAGAAACATTTCCCGACAACATTGCATGTATGATAGCTTCACTTTCTTTCTTCTTTCCCTCCCTAAAGAATTTGTTTTCCTCCATAAGACTTTTCTACAGAAGAGCTGACATTTGAACTCCTCTTAACAGAGGCCATGAAACCATTTTCAAATAAAACATAATTAGGAGAGAAAGACTGGGTTCCTTCAATCAGTGATTTTAAGTACACAGAAGGCTATTATGAATTTATTTGGCTGATTAGACATTTTCCTAAAGGAATATTATTATGGTTTAGACCTAAAAATGTCCTCCAGAGATCTCATGTGCTTGGAAGAAGACTGGATTTGGGGAGGGTGATATGTTCATCTGGGGATTAATCCATTGATAAGTTTAGTAGTTGAAAGTGCTGTTAGAAGTGGGGACTGTTTGGAACTGGTCACTGGGGGCATGACTCAGTGAGTTGTTTTCTTATCATTAGCTCTTCTTTTCCCTCTCTGCTTTTTGGCTGCTCTGAAGTGAACAGCTTTTTCTCTACCATTCCCTTCCATCATGCCATTCTGCTTTAGAGCCAGGAGGCCATGGACTGAATCCACTGAAACTGTGAGTCAAAATCAACCTTTTCTCCTTTAAGTTGCACGAATTGAATAATTTGTCCCAGGGATGGGGAAGCTGACTAATACAAATACAAGTAACTAGAAAAGTACAGAAATATTCAAGCTGTCCAAGAAAAGCCAATGACTAATCATTTATGATCTAACTTCTTCCTTATTGAGTAAATTTATGCTTGTATAGTAAAAGCATGTTTTGGCTTTTAAAATTATCAGGCATTTTATTGCTATCTTAGAATCTGAACATTGTTCCTCTGACTTATTTTTCATATATATTTTGGTACAAAATTATTTTATTGCATTACGCATCATCCTATTTTCATGAATAGAGTATGAAATTTAAAATTTACTCCTTCATACATACTACTGTATAATCATGTGTGTTTAAAAGGATCTTTGTAGTCACAGACTTCCCTAAATTTCATAATGCCATTAGAGAACTACAATGTCAGTTTCGAAATGCCTAGGTACTGGCATGTTTTCTACAGTTGTTCATATAACATTCTAAATTCCAATAAAATGCATATTCTTTAATTGAGTAACTGTGATATGATAGTCCTTCATGCTAATGGCAAAATATTGCTGCTCTTCATGTTTGGAAATGGTATTACTGACAAAAATGTGTAGGGATGTATCTGCCAGATCAATCAATATGTGATCAATAGTTCACTGCACACAAAGTGAAAAATACTACAGACTCTATTGACAGAGTCTGACATTGTCTGTAGCTATGTCTTAAAGGTAGGGGTTCCATATAAAAATCAGCATGTGGACTCCAGTGAACAGTCAAGAATTACTCTACCTGATATATGGGTATGTCCAGCATCTTGGCCTTTCACCTGATTAGAGCTTTGTTTAAAAAGATGTCCTGCTTTTGATGCTGAAGGTTTAAGCAGGTCATCTTTTTCAATTAAAGAATGTGCATTTTGTTGAAATATCCCTCCTCATGGATAGAGTCATGCTAGGATGGTCCGTCAAGACCAGAGCAGGGGCCTTTGACCCAGGCTGTGCTACTGAGGCTTCTGGGTAGCATCTGATTGATAACTAGAGGCAATCCATGCTGATGGTGCTTCCCTAAGATCGCATCCATTCTTTTCTGTTGTCACACACCCGGGGCTGCTCCTGTCTTTGCCCTTGCTCAAAGTTGACTGTTGAGCTATTTCTTCCACTCCATATATTTCCCTATGTCCTTCCAATAACTTC